CCAGAAAAAAAAAAAGAGACAGATAGAACAGATGAGCAATAAGAAGAATAAGTAGAAGAATAAAAGGTAGCAGAGGTAGAAGAATAAAAACACGGAGAAGAAGAAGGAAAAAGAAGGAGAAAAAAAAGACTTCAGTAATTTTCTACATGGTTTTTGATGCCATCAGTTTATATTTTTGAAATGAATAATAAAACAACAACAATCTGTATGACACCGCCACTGCCATCACCACCATCAAAACTCTCAGCAGCAGCAGCGGTAAGAGCAGAAGCAGTAGTAACCGAAATAACATCAGAAGGAAATATCAGCATTTATTTGCCAATAGCATCAGCATCAGCAACAGCAACAACAAAAACAACAACAGCAACAACAACAACTACTACTACCCTGAATGCCAATGAGTTTTTGATGTTAAGCAGAAAAAAAAAAGCAAAAGCAATTGTTGCGGCTCCTAAAACCACCAAAAATGCAGGAAATTAAAAAATAGAACCGTTGGTCTTAGCAGAAGAAAAAAATTTTCACTTTCAATTCCACATAAACTTGGAAAATCGCATCCAAGAGATTCTTCGTTCTTCTTCTTTTTTTTTTTTTCGTTTTCTTGAGGAACTTAAATATTTCTGATTTTCTGACCCATAAAAAGACTTTGATCTTTGACTTTGTTTTCTGTTTCGTTTCATGCAAAAATAATTTCCAATTTTTTTTAAAATGATTCTAAACTTCCAACCCTCGTGGAATGTTCAAAAAATTTCTTGATACTTCTTCAAACATTTGTTTTTGCATTTTTTTTCTTCTCCATCTTCTTTACTCTCTCGACATCAAACGTAACATTAGTTTCCGTCTTTTTCTTTTTTTAAGCGTGCAATTCAAACCCCATAACTTTTTTTTTCTAATTTTTGATTTTTCTTTACCTTTTCCTTCGTCTTTCAATAAAGTAGGTTTTAGAAGTCTTTTCAAAAAAGTAGGAGAAGGAAAGAAAGCATGTTCATATTATAAACAGAATACTGAACAAACTATTTGGATCAAAAGTTGGCATTAAATGAAGGCTTTTTTTCTTCTTCTTATTTCTTTTTTGGCATTTCTCCTCTACACATTGATTCATTGGAAGGAAATACAGAATTTCAGGTGGGTAAAAATAGTAAAAGAATTTTTCTCCTCTTTTCTTCACTTCTTCATTTCCACTTTTTTTTTGCTTTTTTATACAGTCTGCTTTTAGGGATAATTTAATATAAGAGTCCGATGATGAAGAAAGAGAATTGAACTAAAAAAATTTCTTTGTGAAGTACTGTCTAAAAGCGTAACAGTAAAGGAGACAAGATGATGATGATGATGATGGTGGTGGTGATGATGATGATGTTGATGATGATGATGAAAACGAAAAGAACAGGAATCAAGCAATAGTGGGGGCTGCTATTACATGTTAAATGTTCTTTTTCCAAGGAATTTTCTTTTTTTCTATCTAAAAGACACTTTAAGACACTTTAAAGCTTTGAAATCAGATATAAAATTAGTTAATAAAAAATTAAAGGGCAGACTACGTTCCATTGTTAGATGATGAGGGAGAACAACGAGGAGGAAGAAGGGGAACAGCAACAGCAACAGCAACAGCAACAGCAACAGCAACAGCAGCAGCAACAGTAGGATATGGATTATTGGTGTGGATTGGGTAAACAGGCTGAATATTTCAGCTAGAAGAGGGGTGAAAAAAAGATGGAAGCTGAGGGAAGAAGGGACCAATGAAGTGAGGGACAGTGAAACAAGGGAAAGGGACAACAAGGTAGAGGAGTGGAAAAAGGGAAGAGATGGGGGGCAAAAAGGCGAGAGGGGAGTGTGGAGAGGAAGAAAGAGGGGAGTCGGAGTGGGGCTGGGTGAACGGTAACAATCAAAAATCTATTTGAAATAACATACTAAGAGGCAGAGATTGAGATACACTGATGCAAAGTAACAAATTGGAATACCTAAACAAACAGGTTTTTGAAAAGTCTTACTTTAAAATGCTATATTGTATCGCGCAAAATCGAAATTCATAGCCCAAGCCTTAGGAAATTTTCTTTAATTTACGAGTCACATTCAATCAAATAAACAC